AAGCTCCTTCTCAGCGCCTGACACCTTCGTTACACTCTCGGTAACATCGCTGCCACCAGTGTGGGCGCGGCCTTTAGAAGAATCTTGAAATTTGCCCTCTAACCCCAAATGTAGTAACGTTCATGCTTTTGTTTATGTCTTTGGGAATATGCCATCATAGTGAATTTTGAAAAGGTTTAAGATTGACCATGTTTTCCAGATGAATTTACTTTGTTGTTTGTATAATCACTTTGGTTCTAGATTGCAGACTAACGGAAAAATCAACCAACTCCTCCCTTACATTCTTACTGTATCAATAACACGATAGTTGTAATGAAATAGAAATTCAAACTGACAAATAAAGTAATTTAGCAGCGGTAAGTGTATTCAGCGTCATGACAGTCGTCACTTGTTTGTAAACATAACGGTCATTCGGCTGCGAGTTCAACTCCAAGCATGGTTGTGGCCACCTATCACAGTGGGGAGTTTTGACTGGTGCCAGTGATAGTATAGAGAGCTCCGGTAATGGGCTATCGCTGCAAGGAGCTTGCAAGGATGAGCTGCTCACACATTCACTCACTCTTTCTATATGTCCTAAGCTGAAATTTAAAAAAAATTCATTGACTTCAACATATCAAGCACTGTATTTTCTTGAGTATAGAGCACACCCCAATATAATGCGCACCCCCCTCTGGCGGATTCAGTATTTTGGAGGAAAAAAAATCAGGTGACACATTTTGCTGGTGATTATATTTTTTCTACAAAATGACTGACAGTTTCAAATTACAAGCACTAAATGCAGTCCTAACATTGAATGACATAAACCTTTCTCAGATAGATGTGATGTTAGATAAAAAAGATTTTGCACTTTGCTTGTGTTGTCATTTGTTGACAAATTAATCTGAAAAAAGTATCTGGGGTTTCTTTCTTATTGTAATCGGGGGCACGGGCGGCCCAGTCGTCTAAGGCGCCGCGATTCGCTGTGCAGAGTTGCGTCCCGTGGACACGCCAGAAACCTATGATTGTGGGTTCGAATCCCGGTTCGCCCCGATTATGTTTCTAGGTTTGTCAGCACCATACCCGTGCTCGTGGGTTTCACCGAAGTGATAAACGTCTGAGACCTGCATCACTTCAGGCTTTCCTCCCACATTAAGCTGACACGCCGCGATATAACTGGAATACTGTTAAAAGCGGCGTCAAACCCAACTCACTCACCCTTATTGTAATCTGCCCGAGTTTGTTCATATTGTCAGTGTTCTGCATGGGTGTGTCAGCAGCCTGTACTGGTGTGCTGTCATTCTTACTCACTCACTATGCTATAATGGTTTTCTTTGAAACACAATAAATCATTTGGCTTTTATGTAATTTGAGTGTGTTTTTAAATCCCCCTTCAACTGTTTCCTTTCGTAATGTTTGTCTTTCCAGTGTATTGACCTGTTGTCACATTCTTCCTTGACAATTGACCACCTGCATGGTCTAGTGGTAGAGCGCCAAGAGACCGGAAGGTCTGGGGTTTGATCCACAGCTGTGTCATACCAAAAGACGTTAAAAGATGGTGCTTGTTGTCACCCTATCTGGCGCTGGGCATTAAGGGGCTAAAACAAGGACTGGTTGGCTTTGAGTCACTATACTGTGTGTGAGTGGGTCACACACACGCACACGCACGCACGCACGCACGCACACACACACACACATACACACAGAGTATATATATACCCGGTAGTATAAGTATATAATATATATAAGTGCTATAATCTTGACGTTAAACCCAATTTCACCTTCACCTCACTCCTTGATAATGACATGACACAACACTGTATGGTGCCAACAATTTTGGTGAAGCACTTGATGTGTTTCAGATTTTTGGATGTTCATGCCTCTAAGCTGATGCCTCTATCCTGAATATTTTTGCCACAATATGCAATGACATTAATCATCCACTGAATAATGCAGAGGATTAAAAGATCTGTGTCTTAAACACCTAACACTCTTCTCTTAACACTTGGTTGACACTGACATGAAACAAAATGTTCAAAGCAGTGTCTATCAATCACTCCCCCACACTTAGTAGATTAGCAATGTTGCTTCTATGTATTTAGGACTGTTCGCTCCGAGGAAGGAACATTAAAGATGTGGTGTTCAATGTAGTGGACCAACACACAGTGAAAACACACTATCATGTTTTCAGGCATCAGACAAGGTGTGGTTTTGTGTCCACCTTCAAACACATCAAATGAGATTCAAACCCGTATGACAACATTCTTGTGTCTGATTATCTTCATTTAATTTGACTTTTGTGGCCATTTTGCCAAATATTACAGAAATTTGAATATGCATATTCAAAGTGTCTCTGTATAAAATTGGGCAAGGAGAAGAGAAAATAGTATTTGGTTCCTGATATAGGTATTTGGCCATTTTGCCAAATATTACAGAAATTTGAATATGCATATTCAAAGTGTCTCTGTATAAAATTGGGCAAGGAGAAGAGAAAATAGTATTTGGTTCCTGATATAGGTATTTGGCCATTTTGCCAAATATTACAAAAATTTGAATATGCATATTCAAAGTGTCTCTGTATAAAATTGGGCAAGGAGAAGAGAAAATAGTATTTGGTTCCTGAGATAGGTATTTGGCCATTTTGCCAAATATTACAGAAATTTGAATATGCATATTCAAAGTGTCTCTGTATAAAATTGGGCAAGGAGAAGAGAAAATAGTATTTGGTTCCTGATATAGGTATTTGGCCATTTTGCCAAATATTACAGAAATTTGAATATGCATATTCAAAGTGTCTCTGTATAAAATTGGGCAAGGAGAAGAGAAAATAGTATTTGGTTCCTGATATAGGTATTTGGCCATTTTGCCAAATATTACAGAAATTTGAATATGCATATTCAAAGTGTCTCTGTTTAAAATTGGGCAAGGAGAAGAGAAAATAGTATTTGGTTCCTGAGATAGGTATTTGGCCATTTTGCCAAATATTACAGAAATTTGAATATGCATATTCAAAGTGTCTCTGTATAAAATTGGGCAAGGAGAAGAGAAAATAGTATTTGGTTCCTGAGATAGGTACAAACTGTCCTTTTGGGAAAATGTTGCCTTCGCAAAAAGTATGTAGATGCACGTATAAAACGATCTGGTCATGCATACACTGAAGTTTACTGCATGAAGTTTTATCTTTATTCAAACATATAAAAGTCAGAAGGAATGGGTGCATAGTCAGAAAGAATTGGGAACATTGGTGACTTGTAGTGTAACCATGGAGTTTTGGAATTTTTTTGTCATTAAATAATATATCACTTGACTAACGACGGATCCGGGTAGTCCGCAGTGGGTACCGGGGTCCTACTCAGTACCCATCCGAGTACCCGAATACCCGAGTACCCGTCGCAGCCCTAGGTGGTGTGTTAATGTTTTGAAGGCGGTTTGCTGTGGTTGAGCATAATCCTAATTTATCCACACAACCAGAGTGAGCAGTAAATGCTCGTGAATACCAAAGAAAGTGTGTTTGTGTTGGGCAGGTCATAATAGGATGTTTCACTTATCATAAAGCACAAGAAAAGTATATTTTCTTAGAAAATGCACTAATGCACAATAATGGGCATCTTCCCGCGGCAAGAGAGTTAACTGACTTTAAAAGTCCAGTTTCCACCCTTGCCGAACTAGGCTGGTATTATGGAGTTACATTTTGGCTGGGCTTAGAGTCTATGCATAGTCCAATCAAATTCGTGCACCGAAATCGAAATCCGGTACATAAACTATCATGCAGATTTCGGTCGATTGCAGGATTTGCAAAGCATGTGCACCGCCAACTCGTCGTCAGCAGATATTTTCCAAATCTTATCATGTCTTTAATCAAGGTGCTCACGTGATTTGATGCATTTCGCAATGTAAGACCCGTTTTATCACAATATAGATCTTTATTATCGATCGTCCTGACTGGGCGCTGCCATTTTGTGTGAAGCAAACACAAGTGATACGAGAAGTGGAATCTGATTGGTCCATAGGAGAGGCTTAGAAGGGACATAACTGGTAATAGCCACTGGTGGCACTACGATCGAACCCAGGAATTCCAGCCTAGTTCGGCAAGGGTGGAAACTGGACTCTTAAAGTCATTTAACTCTCTTACCTCGGGAAGATGAATAATGGGTTGCCACTGATTCCTGCCATATGAATGGAACCACCCATTTCCAGCAGTATTTCAGCAGCTACAGCCTGTTGTGCCTGTCTACATTTCATAAATGTTGACATTTCTGGCGTCCCCCGCCGTGATATTGCTGGAATATTGCTAAAAGCGGCGTAAAACCATACTCACTCACTCACTCATAAATGTTGAAGTACAATTGAGCTTGCTCTCTCTATGAAGATTTCAAAGAGTGTTATATGACTCTTGCTCAAACGTTGTTTTACCAGGATAACAACATGCAAGGTCTTAGCAAGGCTTTCCAAATGTTTAATGCTAACCATGTGAAGGACTTTGCAATTACCAAAATCATGTCTAATGCAATTCCCTATTTTGACTTATACCATACGTTCCCATGTTTGTTCTAATGAATTCTTGAGTTGCCTCTGCATGTGTTTGTGATCCGTGCCACCAGTGTGCAGGACATGCTCCCCTTTTCATGTACGCCTGGTATCATCATTAATTGATTGTGATTCAGAAACACATGCTTCTGATATTGTCAAAATGGTAGAATGGAATCAACCAAGATTTCTTTAATGGCTATGGAAATTGTTTTGTTGCTTTCATTTCTATGGCATGTACTGAAAATTCTGCAGGTTCTAAATAATGGCCTACTATTAATTCCTTGTTTTTATTTTGCTCAACAGAGATCAACCTCACTTACTGTGACAAATCACCGTAATGTGGACATTTCACCCCAAACTTCCAGTCTCATCCAAAGGTCCCATCTCATCCACAGGTCCCATCTCACCCAAATGTCCCATTTCACCCAAGGGTGATATATATTTATATATCCCATGTCACCTGAGCTTGTACTTGATGTGTCTGTCTGTTGTAGATCCTGCGTGTCGGTGTGGCCAAAGTGAGACTTGTGAGTCTTGGCAACGCCAGACCCTGGCTGATCCATTCCTACAAGAACACAAAGGGTCGCACCTCAATGCTCAGGAGCATGGACCAGGTAGGCATCTCAATACTCACTTTCGTGTAAGGACTGATCAGCCGGACCTGGGCCTGGTTACACAAAGAGATTTTAGCACTATGGCTAGTCCATGTACATGTATACAATCATAATAGTGATAAATCACTTCGCAGAATCAGGCTCAAGTGATAAACAAAACACGAGGACAATGGGACAATGAAGTGGGTATCTGAATATTAGCTATGTTCACTCATTGACTAGCTATTTGAATTTGTGTTTCACAAAAAAAATTATCATTTAATTTTATTGACTAAGTGTTAATTGTGTAAATCATAAGGATCCAACAATATGTTTTATTATATTATTCTTGGTCATGGTAAGTTTGTGGATGGTATGAGACATACTGTTAAATATGGTGGATAATATATGCATGGCATATAGAAATCTGTCTGATGAATCTGATATTTATTATATTTATGGGGATTGATCCCCCTAAAATAACTTTTATTACTGGAACTACCACAAATGCCACTACCATGCTTACGTTTCCCAGTGAAATTCAAAACAACAACACCTGAGAATAATCAATCTTGATTATCTGCCGAATCAGATTTCTTTGGTCGTAAAAGGTAAAATAGTGATGAAACTTATATGAATGACTTTCAAATGTGCATCTAGGATTGTTAATGAGCAATCATATTGACCTGATAATGTTGTACCAGGAGGCAGACAGAGTGTCGCTGGATGAGTTTCCTGATGGCGAGCCTCAGACAAGGGGAGATAAGTATGTCTGTGATGCTGGAACCAGTACAGCGGATCTGAATCAAGCTGACGATGGAAGCCTGTTGGATCAGGGGACACAGACCCCCCTACCAGAAATGCCATTTGCTCTTAGGTGTGTAGACACGTCAGATATAGCCCGCACGTCAGATATAGTTTGTCTGTCTAGCTGACCGCCTCCGTGATCTAGTGGTAGAGCGTCCGCCCGGAGAGCGGAAGGTCCGGGGTTCGATCCCCGGCCTTGTCATACCAAAAGACGTTAAAAGATGGTACTTGTTGTTACCCTGTCTGGCGCTCGGCATTAAGGGGTTAAAGCAAGGACTGGTCGGCTCAGAGTCTGTATACTGTGTCTGATTGGGGTATTCATGTTAAACTGCGGCATGGTATCTCAGTGGGCTAGCACTATAAATCGGCATCAGTCCGGTCTAGTACATGCAGCCACACACACACACGTGCATGCACGTCGCTATATAAGTGCAATAATCTTGGACACAACGTTAAACCCAATTTCACCTCACCTCTGTCTAGCTGGGTAGAGGCAAAATGGACACCAGTACCTTTGCTTCCCTTGTACCCAATGAGTGTCTCCTTGTGGTCATTCCAGGACAGAATAAGTTCCCAGTACCATGTATGTCTCCGAGGCAGAATAGATATCAGTACCCTTGTCTCCATGATACCCAATACTTGCAGTGATTCCAGGACTGAATAGGTCCCCAGTACCCAACGCTTGCCTCCATAATACCCTATGTGTGTTATAGTGGAGCAGATAACAGTTATGATTAATAAAATGATGATACAAGGACAGAAACTAAGAAGAAAAAACGTTAGGCACCGAAAATTCAAGTTTTCATATAATAATTAGATCCACAGCAAGTGCTTTTATAAGTTATCATGGTGTAACATTTATACAACATTTCATATAATTATAGAACAGCAAAAATACATATTAGGATCCAGGAAAAATGCAGATACAAAATATTAGTAGTTACAGTTACAGCTTTTTAGATAGATACTAGGCTAGGGTAAGAAGATCCCATCTCCTAGACATACTATTCAATAAGACAAAGGTTGTTGTTAGTTGTTGCATGAAGTGTTTAAGAGGTCGCCTTCTGCCTCAGCAATTTTGGCTGACCTGTCCCTCTTTGGGACTCATGTGTGTGAGTTTGGTATATGATTTCTATTTTTGTATATTGATATAATTTCATTTTTAACTTTGGCTGCTCTGTTCGAGTAGCTGTCCATCTCTCAGAAATAGAGTTAGTTTGGCCTTCGCTATATATCATTATTGCATCTCTTGGCTTTAGAAAATCTATGACAGATAGCGGATCTAACTGCAGTTCTTGTTTTAACCGAGCCCGGGCTGGGGCATGGTCTTGACATTCGAGTAACAAGTGAGCAATGGATTCAGGTTGATTGCAAGATGAACAAACCTTGTCATAGTGCTTCTTGTGGCCGAGTCTGAGGGGTGAGATGGCAATTTCAACTTTCCTTTCATTTGAGTATGAGTTTGACTTTTGTTGGATCTTGGGTTGAATTTTGTGTAGCCATCTGCTGATCTTACTTGCATCCCACTGGTCTTGCCATCTTTGGGCTATACAGGCTTTGCTTTTGCTTTTTATCTCTAGTATGGTAAAGGGAATAGGCTGTATCTCTGCTTTGTCTAGAGCTAGCTTCACCAGTGTGTCTGCTTTTTCATTTCCATGAATATCTATGTGAGAAGGGATCCAACACAGCTCCACCTGTTGCCCTTGGTCCGATAGTTTTGTATATTCATATAGGATATTATTGACTGTGTTTGGCCTGGAGTTTGAGTTCCTGCCGCCGATGGCTTGAAGTGCACTTAGCGAGTCTGATAGGACGACTGCCTTTGCTTCAGGAAGTTCCGGTATGAGTTTGAGTGCATGATGAATTGCCTCAAATTCAGCAGTGAATACTGACTGACCAACAGGCAGGCGACCGAATGTGCTTGGGGTTTGGAGCTGTGGATATGGATCCCGTAACCAGCACTGTTGTTGATAGGATTCTTAGATCCATCAGTGTATATATAGTCCGAGGTAGTTTGAATTTTGGTGATAGCTACTGATTGTAGAAGGGTTGGGTTTTCTTTTTTGGTGACTTCTGATGTTAAAGCAGTGTCAACTTTAGGAGTTTTTAAAGTTCAAGGAGGATGTAACACTTTGTAATGACTTTCTGGATCGCTGAATGTCATCACAATTGTGACTTCGGATGAGTTATTGTACTAATATCCCAGATGGTTTTAGTGAGGGATTTTTCCAAGCTAGGGCTTCATCTCAGGTGTTTTTGTCTTGCCATATCTTTTTAACCAAAGGGTTTGATGTTCATCCCCAGAACGATAATATTGCTTGCTCTCTTTCAATGGGAGTTATCCCGTTTCTACTTGTAGTGCTTCTAGTGCATTAGGGCTTTGTATTGTATTCTGTCGAGGCTCAAGACAGTATTTGATTCTGAGTGAAAGGCCTCACAACCATAGTCAATTTTTGATCTGATAAGTGATTTGTAGAGGTCCCGCTGAGTGTCCCTCAATGTGCCCCAAGATGTTCCTGAAATTGCCCGTAATACGTTCAGGTCTTTTTAACATCTGTTTTCCACATATTCTATATGTTTGTGGGAAGTGAGGTGTTGATCAAGGATCACCGCAAGAAATATTGCAGATTTTTTTAATTTGATTGGAAGACATATATATGTTATGTCTACATAGTTTTATAGATTGCCTTGAACTATTTTATTTCAGTAAATCTGTCATCACCTATATTAGAATAGCATTCAGCAAATACTTCAATTTAGATTCATTAAGGATTAGCCCCATACAAGCTCATCTATTGTGATACCATAATCTCTTTCCAAGCAGCCAGTGAATATGTCAACAAGATTAGTGCCAGTCCAACAGGTCTCAAGAGAGATAGGTACAAAATGTCCGATTGGGAAACGTTTGACCGTACTCCTGTCAAAATGTATTTAGATACAGGTATAAAATGATCTGGCCATGCATACACTGAAGTTGACTGAAGTTTTATCTTTATACAAGCATATAAAGTTGAAAAGACCGAGGGCTTCTGCAAATGATAATGCCCTGAAAAATAGCGTTACCGTTATTATAGCTAAAATGGATGGAATTTGTTACCAAATAAAAAGAAACAACAATATCGATTTTGAAACATTTGCTGCAATCAACACTAATGTCACTGACCCACTTTTACAAATATGGAAACGTCATAGAACGAACCAGATGACGTCACTATTGAATGTACGTCACCTATCCCTATCCTATGATGTCACCTAACAACGGGCGTGATAATGGCCCGTCGTCAAGTAATATGAGGGCATTATCAAGTTACAGTGGCCCGCTCTTTTCTGATAACATGCAGGTGTTTTTATGATAATTCTATCCATTTTAGCTATAATACAAGTCATTGCTGTCTTTGTTTTAATGGCAGACTTATGAAAGGAGAAAAAGAACAATCTGATAGGTTTCAAAGTTGTAAAATCAGTGTTGGCATGGTAATGTAGATTGAAAACAAATTGGACACTTCTGTGAAATGCTATTTCACAAATTAATAACGATTGTTAAAGATATTGTCCATCTGGGATTTCCATGTGGCTAACTAGTTTTTCTCTACATTCATACTAGTAAGAATATAATTTCAATTTTTGAATAATTCACCTATTTATTTTTGCCCTTTATCTGCCTACTACTACGCTTTGGGGATTTTAGGACAGAATAGGTCTCCAGTAGCCTATGCTTGCCTCCCTAATACCCAATACTTTTTCCCCTGTGTTGATTTCACAACAGAAAATACCACCTGTATCACATGGTTGTCTCCTCAACACCCATGGGGGGATACAGAGGGAGGGTGCAGGGGTGCGCAACCCCCCTTTTTATTTCGAAATAAATCTTTATTTCTGTATAAATTACCACCAAAGACAATAAAAAGATCTTAGTTGTGCACCCCCCCTTTTCAAAAAAGCTGTATCCGCCTCTGTCACCTTATGCATTGCGTGAAAGGTGACAGTTAGGAGTGTTACGATATTGGTAAGCACTTCAGTTCCATGGTTTAATTCAACTCTAAAATCCATCTAAAATGATACACTGAAAACTTTTGATATCACAATAGTTGCTTACAATATCAATAGTTATCGCAATAGTTTCTTTCAATATCAATAGTTATCGCAATAGTTATTTCCAGACCAATAGTCACCCCGAGTGACAATGGTAGCTGCTGAGTGTCTAAGAATTATATCATTTATGCTGTGGAATCTCATCAGAATCAGTTAACTATTGGCTGTTAGCCCAACCTTCTTTCAGTTACACTTGTACAATCACATATGTTTAACTGACAAGTGGGTTAGAGGTCAAAGTGTTCAGGTTAGGGTTTGATTCCTACATGTACAGTACAGTGTGTGAAGCTCATTTCTAGTGTCTTCACTGTGATATTGCTGGAATATTGCTAAGAGCGCTGTAAAACCATACTCACTCACTCACTCACTCACTCACTCACTCACTCACTCACACATGGGTACAGTGTGTGAAGCTCATTTCTAGTGTCTTCACTGTGATATTGCTGGAATATTGCTAAAAGCGCTGTAAAACCATACTCACTCACTCACTCACTCACTCACTTACTCTAAACGTCAGCATGTGTGCTGCGTATCCCTGTCCTCACCTTCTCAGACTCTGGTGTAGTGGTAGAGCGTCCGGCAAGAGAGCGGGAGTCCAGGGCTCAATCCCTGGACACGTCATACCAAAAGCTGTTACGTGATGGTACTTGTTGCTACCCTGCCTGGTGCTCTGCATTAAGGGGCTAAAACAAGGACTGGTTGACTCAAAGTCACTACAGCATGGTATCTTAGTGGGTTAGCACTATAAAATCGGCATTAGTTCGGACTAGTACAAGCAGCCATCCACCCACCCACCCGAACACTCACTCACTCACTCACTCACTCACTCACTCACTCACGTGCATGCATGTAATTTTTTTGTGCAATAATTCTGGACGCGACGTTAAACCCCATTTCACCTCACCTCACCTCACCTCACCTCCTCACTGTTCCAGCTCCTATGAGAAGGTTCGACTGATTGCCCGGCCGTGGAGGAAGCCCGAGGGACATCTCAACAAGTGGCTGCTGAAGTTCATGCTGGAGTCGGTGATGCTGTACATCATGTCCAACCCAGGGGTCCGCAACACCGCCATCTACCAGAAGTACACACCCTACCTGCAGCCAGTTGTAGTACAGGAGCTTGTTGAGGTGAGTTGCAGCCAGCCCATGGACATTTTAGTTTATAGAAGATGAATGCTGAATCAGGTGATCTCTACCTTGTACCTTGTTGTGCAGGGCCTTGTGGAGGTCAGTTGCGGCCAGCCCATGGACATTTTAGTTTATAGAAGATGAATGCTGAATCAGGTGGTCTCTACCTTGTACCTTGTTGTGCAGGGCCTCGTGGAGGTCAGTTGCAGCCAGCTCATGGACATTTTAGTTTATAGAAGATGAATGCTGAATCAGGTGGTCTCTACCTTGTACCTTGTACCTTGTTGTGCAGGGCCTCGTGGAGGTCAGTTGCAGCCAGCTCATGGACATTTTAGTTTATAGAAGATGAATGCTGAATCAGGTGATCTCTACCTTGTACCTTGTAGTGCAGCACCTCGTGGAGGTCAGTTGCGGTCAGCCCATGGACATTTTAGTTTATAGAAGATGAATGCTGGGACAGGTGATCTCTACCTTGTACCTTGTTGTGCAGGGCCTCGTGGAGGTCAGTTGCAGCCAGCCCATGGACATTTTAGTTTATAGAAGATGAATGCTGAATCAGGTGGTCTCTACCTTGTACCTTGTACCTTGTTGTGCAGGGCCTCGTGGAGGTCAGTTGCAGCCAGCTCATGGACATTTTAGTTTATAGAAGATGAATGTTGGGTCAGGTGATCTCTACCTTGTACCTTGTTGTGCAGGGCCTCGTGGAGGTCAGTTGCAGCCAGCTCATGGACATTTTAGTTTATAGAAGATGAATGCTGAATCAGGAGATCTCTACCTTGTACCTTGTTGTGCAGCACCTCGTGGAGGTCAGTTGCAGCCAGCTCATGGACATTTTAGTTTATAGAAGATGAATGCTGAATCAGGTGATCTCTACCTTGTACCTTGTTGTGCAGGGCCTCGTGGAGGTCAGTTGCTGCAAGCTCATGGACATTTTAGTTTATAGAAGATGAATGCTGAATCAGGTGGTCTCTACCTTGTACCTTGTTGTGCAGGGCCTCGTGGAGGTCAGTTGCAGCCAGCCCATGGACATTTTGGTTTATAGAAGATGAATGCTGAATCAGGTGGTCTCTACCTTGTACCTTGTTGTGCAGGGCCTCGTGGAGGTCAGTTGCAGCCAGCCCATGGACATTTTAGTTTATAGAAGATGAATGTTGGGTCAGGTGATCTCTACCTTGTACCTTGTTGTGCAGGGCCTGGTGGAGGTCAGTTGCAGCCAGCTCATGGACATTTTAGTTTATAGAAGATGAATGCTGAATCAGGTGGTCTCTACCTTGTACCTTGTTGTGCAAGGCCTCGTGGAGGTCAGTTGCAGCCAGCCCATGGACATTTTAGTTTATAGAAGATGAATGTTGGGTCAAGTGATCTCTACCTTGTACCTTGTTGTGCAGGGCCTCGTGGAGGTCAGTTGCTGCAAGCTCATGGACTCTGTAGTTTATAGCAGAGGCAGGGTCAATTAAGCCCTGATGCTGTAAGAACTACACACCTTGTACCTATTGAAGGACAGTTGACAGCGTTCCGTTGTCAGGAACATTCCTAACTCTTACCCCCAGGTTGTTGTGGTGCATATAGCTAGCTAGTGCTTGTACACTGTCCTTTTAATGAGTGAGGCACAATGACTCTGGGCTGACCAACATTCTTCAGACATTCACAGAAACTAAGGCTTCTACTGCCCAGTGAAGTCACAGAATGTCAGTGGGTAAAATGAAGACATATGGGACAGTCAAATATAGGCTGTACTTATAAGGTGACCAATACTCAGGTCACTGTGCAGAGCTGCATCACTGTGGACTAGCTGCCATATGACATGCCTCTATGTAACAGAAATACTGTACAAAATATCCATTTGTTATCTCACTCACTCATAGTTTTACAAATTTTGCCCATGTGGAGTAGCTATGTACCGTATTCACTGTAATAAGCACCCTGGTAAAACAAATTGACTAAGGCGGCTGCTTATTAAAACCTTGACTAACATCAAGTCTATGAAATGGAAATATTTTACAGAAGAAAAAATGTTAAATTATCTTATTACAATATAACAAAAAGAAACCCAGAGACTCGCTTCAATTTCGCAGACTTTATTGACTTACTTACTTTTAGATACTGATAATAGTTTAAAAGAAATTATGTATCATTTTTGCGCTGCTGTTTTTTGCAAAAGAAATCTTTTATATATACAATGTATGGACTGTCCTGTACTTTCAGTATCATACAGAGGTGTTTATGAAGATTACAAGTCTACAAATTTGTCCAGAATTTGGTCAGGGGTGATTAAAGGAGCAGGGTGCTTTATACAGTGATTATGGTATATTAAAATTCTTGATCTTGATCTGATCTCAATGCCGCTTGAGATCTCGATCTGCATGAGCTCTCCTGTTCACATGTTTCATTCTTTGCTCAGATGCTGGAGGATCTCAATTGTCTGACCCGCACATGTCTCACAGTCAAGGTCAAGTCCTCCCTGTTTCACAATGCAAAAGTTGAACGAGGTATGTCAATGACTATCTATATTTGCTTAGATTTGTATTCTTTTCATTTTTGCTGTTATGTGTGCTCTGATCCAAGGGAGAGAACTCTTGTCAATTCACTAGCCAGAATTTCAGAAGAGATCTGAGTCATGATCAGATCATACATTAATCATGTCATATAGATTGTGTTGAGCCACTAAAACTTGTTTATAACCATTCTGTGAATAGACCTTTTCATGGTTCATATCAGCCTTAAGACATCTGCATCTGTGGTCTAGTGAATAGAAGGGGCATGGGTGGCCCAGTTGTCTAAGGCGCTGTGATTCGCTATGCAGAGTTGCGGCCCTTTGGGCACACCAGAAACCTATGATTGTGGGTTCGAATGCCGGCTCACCCCAATTATGTCAGCACCATACCCATGCTCGTGGGTTTCACTGAAGTGGTAAACGTCTGAGACCTGCATCACTTCGGGCTTTCCTTCAACATTAAACTGACACGACGTGATATAACTGGAATACTGTTAAAAGCGGCGTTAAACCTAACTCACTCACTCACTCACTCACTCACTCAATCGGGGCGGTCGGGTAGCCTAGTGGTTAAAGCATTCGCTCGTCACGCCGAAGACCCGGGTTCGATTCCCGACATGGGTACAATGTGTTAAGCCCATTTCTGGTGTCCCCCGCCGTGATATTGCTGGAATATTGCTAAAAGCGGCGTAAAACCATACTCTCTCTCTCTCTCTCTCTCTCTCACTCACTCACTCACTCACTCACTCACTCACTCACTCACTCCATGAACATACAGTATTACCCAATTCCATTTTTTTACTATTGATTTACATGAACCATGAATAAAGAAATGACATGTTGATGGGCTGTTGTTCTTTTACAGTTGCTTCAGGAAGTCTTGACGACGACATCGTTATGTACGAAGCGAAGATGGATTGTACCTTTAAGCTTGGACAGTTTGTGTCATCGCTGACGTGAAACCCACCATGATGACTGTCGCCATCATCCGTTCATATCAATCATTAAACATACTGAGAGCATCAGGGCCAATTATTGAACATTTACAGAGTAGCATCCACTCATTGACCTCCCTCACTTTAGGCGTTCCTCCACCATATTATTAAAGCAGTGTAAAACACTAAATCTTTTGAACTTGTCCATCATCTTCTCAATTCATCATTGAACATCCACGGAACGTCATCCTCTCATGTCAATCATGGAACGTTCCCAGGACATCACCACATGTCAACTTCAGCAACCCATACTTGTTGCAAGAGGCGACTATGCTTGTCGTAAGAGGTGACTAACGGGATTGGGTTGTCAGGCTCACTGTCTTGGTTGATGCATGTCATCGCAACCCAATTGCGTATATCGATGCTCATGATGTCAATCACTGGATTGTCTGGTCCAGACTTGATTATTTACAGACCGCCGTCATGTAGCTGGAATATTTCTGAGTGCGGCGTTAAACAACAAACAAACAAACATTAAGCTTGAATTACAAACTGTACACATTTTTCAGTTTCAGTTTTTCTTTTAATGTACCTTCCATGTGTATGTTAAAACATTTTTCATGTACTATTTAAGGAGACTGTATTCTGATGAATGTTTAATATCTGTTCTTTAGTTTTTTAGTTTGTATTTTTTGTTTGTACACTCTTGTAAATGTTCTGATGCCCACACAAATGTTGCTCAGCACAGTAGTACCTGAAAAAGAGAGTATGAATAGTACTTGGGTGGGTGGCAGTCCTGAATGACCAGGATGGTTGTGTCATCTGTCTCTCAGTCTGTACATCCTGCCTTGATAAGTCTGTAATGCTCAGTACCAGGGATGGGTATCAAAATATTTGGCAATGCACAAGGCTGTTTTGCGATACGTATCACAATATATTGTATAATTATTAATTTTGAATTCAGCAGCAATCTGATACATTAATGTATGAACTCAAGTTCATAAATGGAACAAAACAAGATGCTGGTACAACATAATGTTTACTCAGACAATAAATATGCAGCCATCTTGGGGCCCTGGATGCATGCTCTGGGGCAGCGAAGACATTTGGCAGGAAAATAACATTTAAAAAATCGCTTTTTGACATCTCCCAATATATCAAGCGTGAAAATATATTGTGATACGTATTGTAGAAAGAATGAACCTCAATTTACTGATATACCGATAATACTGCACACCCTTACTTGGTACCAAATCCACTCAAGGTTGGTTATCATTCAGAAATCTTGTTAAATATACTGTTGGATAATATTGTGTTTTTAGAAAAGTCCATTGTGTTTCTTCATTTCGTTACTTTTAGTTTCTTGTGCAATAAGCTATCAATTTATTATTATATTTTTAGGAAACAATCTAAACATTTTAGGAATAAAATTCTGACGTTTTATGAAATGGAGTATCGGTATTCTGATATCTGTAATTGGTTTGTAATATACTTTTGTTGTGTGCGATATAAATCTGCAATTAAATCTTTTTGAACAGATACCAAAATATACCACTCAACATTTGATAGGGTTTGATACTTAACGTTCTGATTGTCCAGGGGGAATAAGTCTGGTTTTGGGGAAATGTTGTATAAATAGGATGCGATAATGGGCATGAAACGGACGCATGTTTAGCTTCATCTTAAGTGACACGTTGTTGTCGCCCGACTTTATAAGTGTGTGAACTCGCACTGTATCCTCATCAAGAGTTGAGTAGTATATATCAAACAGTAGATTCATTGTTGACTGTATTTATACATATATGGCTTTGCAGTCACCTAGAGATCAAAGTTGCTGATCACGTGGAACTCTGGTTAGCAGCATTAATCCCGATACTCACTCATTACCTTGTATGTATGACATGTAATTCAGAAAAATAAAGGACTTAATGGTATGATGCTTGTCTGATGTTTTGTTTTGTCTTTCAAAGTATCTCTGATGGAAGCTCCTTGTTGTCAGTCTCAACTCTAGGAGGGAGCTTCAGAGGCAAATGCAGTGTTTGAAGGCAACGCATTTTACTGTTCAGAGTTGTGTCCCTTATCCCTTCCAGGATGTGCTGTTTAAATACCAGATTCATGTTATTGTTATTCTTTTTTTTCATCACCCGTCAGGTGTATTCTCCTCGAACTATGTTACTTTGGGGTTGCCTCCCACTTCAATGAAACACCATGATACAACTCCACATCAATGAAACACCATGATACAACTCCACATCAATGAAACACCATGATACAACTCCACATCAATGAAACACCATGATACAACTCCACATCAATGAAACACCATGATACAACTCCACATCAATGAAACCCCATGACACAACTCCACATCAATGAAACACCATGATACAACTCCACATCAATGAAACACCATGATACAACTCCACATCAATGAAACACCATGATACAACTCCACATCAATGAAACACCATGATACAACTCCACATCAATGAAACACCATGATACAACTCCACTTCAATGAAACACCATGATACAACTCCACATCAATGAAACCCCATGACACAACTCCACATCAATCAAACACCATGATACAACTCCACATCAATGAAGCACCATGATACAACTCCACATCAATGAAACACCATGACACAACTCCACATCAATGAAACACCATGATACAACTCCACATCAATGAAACACCATGATACAACTCCACATCAATGAAACACCATGACACAACTCCACATCAATGAAACACCAAGATACAACTCCACATCAATGAAACACCATGATACAACTCCACATCAATGAAACACCATGATACAACTCCACATCAATGAAACACCAAGATACAACTCCACATCAATCAAACACCATGATACAACTCCTCATCAATGAAACCCCATGACACAACTCCACATCAATGAAACCCCATGACACAACTCCACATCAATGAAGCACCATGATACAACTCCAAATCAATGAAACACCATGATACAACTCCTCATCAATGAAACCCCATGACACAACTCCACATCAATGAAACACCATGATACAACTCCAAATCAATGAAACACCATGATACAACTCCTCATCAATAAAACACCATGATACAACTCCACATCAATGAAGCACCATGATACAACTCCACATCAATCAAACACCATGACACAACTCCACATCAATCAAACACCATGATACAACTCGACATCAATGAAGCACCATGATACAACTCCACATCAATGAAGCACCATGATACAACTCCACATCAATGAAACACCATGATACAACTCCACATCAATGAAGCACCATGATGCAACTCCACATCAATGAAACACCATGATTCAACTCCACATCAATGAAGCACCATGATGCAACTCCACATCAATGAAACACCATGATTCAACTCCACATCAATGAAACCCCATGATACAACTCCACATCAATGAAACACCATGATTCAACTCCACATCAATGAAACACCATGATTCAACTCCACATCAATGAAGCACCATGATTCAACTCCACATCAATGAAGCACCATGATGCAACTCCACATCAATCAAACACCATGATACAACTCCACATCAATCAAACACCATGATACAACTCCACATCAATGAAACACCATGATACAACTCCACATCAATCAAACACCATGATACAACTCCACATCAATGAAACACCATGATACAACTCCACATCAATCAAACACCATGATACAACTCCACATCAATGAAACACCATGATACAACTCCACATCAATCAAACACCATGATACAACTCCACATCAATCAAACACCATGATACAACTCCACATCAATGAAACACCATGATACAACTCCACATCAATCAAACACCATGATACAACTCCACATCAATGAAACACCAAGATACAACTCCACATCAATGAAACACCAAGATACAACTCCACATCAATGAAACACCATGATACAACTCCACATCAATGAAACACCATGATACAACTCCACATCAATGAAACACCATGATACAACTCCACATCAATGAAACACCATGATACAACTCCACATCAATGAAACCCCATGATACAACTCCACATCAATGAAACACCAAGATACAACTCCACATCAATGAAACACCATGATACAACTCCACATCAATGAAACACCATGATACAACTCCACATCAATGAAACACCATGATACAACTCCACATCAATGAAACCCCATGATACAACTCCACATCAATCAAACAACTCCACATCAATCAAACACCATGATACAACTCCACATCAATGAAACACCATGATACAACTCCACATCAATGAAACACCATGATACAACTCCACATCAATCAAACAACTCCACATCAATCAAACACCATGATACAACTCCACATCAATGAAACACCATGATACAACTCCACATCAATGAAACACCATGATACAACTCCACATCAATGAAACCCCATGATACAACTCCACATCAATGAAACACCATGATACAACTCCACATCAATCAAACACCATGATACAACTCCACATCAATCAAACACCATGATACAACTCCACATCAATCAAACACCAAGATACAACTCCACATCAATGAAACACCATGATACAACTCCACATCAATCAAACACCATGATACAACTCCACTTCAATGAAACACCATGATACAACTCCACATCAATGAAACCCCATGATACAACTCCACATCAATGAAACACCATGATACAACTCCACATCAATGAAACACCATGATACAACTCCACATCAATGAAACCCCATGATACAACTCCACATCAATCAAACACCATGATACAACTCCACATCAATGAAACACCATGATACAACTCCACATCAATCAAACACCATGATACAACTCCACATCAATGAAACACCATGATACAACTCCACATCAATGAAACACCATGATACAACTCCACATCAATCAAACACCATGATACAACTCCACATCAATCAAACACCATGATACAACTCCACATCAATGAAACACCATGATACAACTGACATGACATTCCAAGCAGTGTTTAACATCATACGATTGTAGACATAGTGGCAGTAAAATATCAGCTGCTGTAGAATCTAGATTGCCATGTCCATTGGGTGCATTGGTGTCTGAGTAGTGAAGACTGGTGGTTCAGCCTTCCTCCCACACTAAGCTGACAGGCTGTGTGATATGTACTCAACAGAGTGAGTGAGTGAGTATGGTTTTACGCCGCTTTTAGCAATATTCCAGCAATATCACGGCGGGGGACACCAGAAATGGGCTTCACACATTGTACCCATGTCGGGAATCGAACCCGGGTCTTCGGCGTGACGAGCGAACGCTTTAACCACTAGGCTACCCGACCGCCCTACTCAACAGAGGTTAGGTCCCCTTAACAACCTAACTTACAGACCATATTTCTGTAG